TTCGCACTTCATTTTTGTGCATTTGACCAGCTCCAGGTTCCTGCTTCCGCATCTGAATCTGAAACTGTATCTGTATCTGTAGCTGGGGATATACCCAACCAGCTACCGAAAATCTTATCTTTCAATGAGTCGCCGAGACAAATGACACGTGATTTTATTTGATTTACTTACATCTGCAGCTCAATTTTCAGTTTGACTTCTGGCGAGTCGAGTGAGTGAGTCGAGTATCTCTTTCTCCGGCTTTTTGTCGCTGGCCTTTCTTATGGCCAACAGTTCCAGATACAGTTACAGATACAGTTGCCTGCTTCTTCATTCGGGCCATTATCCGAAATGATTCGATCATTAGCGACGTCGTTCCTGGTCGCAGTCGCAGTCGCAGTCGCAGTCGGGATTGCTGTGTTCTTTCGGCATTACGGGTAATTACTGGAATGTTGTGACAACATTTCCCTGCCTTGTCTTCAAATTACTTAATTTTAATGGCCAGCCATATCGCACGAAAAGATTGAGACGTATAGGGAAATTTATACACTCCGTTGTAGGCGGTAAGCTCTTTCCTTCCCCTCCTTCCTTTCATTTTATGAACTCAACAGTTGGTGGCGGTAATTGAAATCGAAAGCTCAATAAATTCTTTTCGGTTTTATGGGGAGATAGTATTTAGGATTGCTGTTCAGAATGAAAATAAGGAGAATGCCAAAAGGATCAGGGTGCTGCTCTAAGAATTCCTTTGATGGTTTTCAAGAAAAATAAAATATTTGTAAAATTAAACTGAAGACAATTTATTTCCGGAAATTCATTTTAAAGTATATGTAAGAAGAGCAAATATCTAATGTCTTTAACGCTTCAACTAAATCTAAACCTACATTTTATAACGAATTTATGTTTATCAACTTAAATTTGTACCCTTAGCCAGAATAATTAACTTAATAAATTTATATTTTAAAACCCAAATATTAAAAATGTTTATTCATATAAGAAATATATAAAAATCAGTATTCTGTAATCCTTGTAAAAGCTATTTTTGATAATAAGTGACTACCTAGAGCTGGCTTCGAAAATATTATTTCGGTTAATCACAGGTTAGACATGAATTTGCTCAGCTACTTTATTTGCAATTTCTAAGTTCCATTTGATTTATAAATAAAATATTTTCCAAGGAATATATTTTATTGTTTTCATCTTTCATTGATAAAAGACATTTAGTATTTGAATTTCAAAGAAAAAAATAGTTTTTTTATAATCAGTCTCAAAGCTGTGGTCTTAGGCAAACGCATACTAAAGGGCGTGCTTAGGCTAAAGTTCCTTGCATACCCTTCAACTTGCAAGCCTCGAATTTTTCTTTTTAAAAAATAAAAAAATAATAGAAATAAAATATTTTCATTTCGAATAGTAAATAAAAAAATTAACCCTCTGCCTTCACTTGTTTACTTTTCTGTCCGTTCCGCCGGCGGCAAGTGGACACCGACTCTTTCGGGTCGCCGGCAAATGGTTGCCCCTACACAAGCACATGGCACTCACACAGGCACACACGCTCCCATAACAACAGCAACAATAGGAGCTGTCAAAACGGCGGCCATATTGAAAGTCAGTCAAGTATTTCGAAACTCGGGGGCGGAGCCAATCGACGCGCAGGCGCATCGGGCAAGTGCGCGTGCGAGCGAGGCGACAAGTGTGTGCGTGCAGAGTGCGTCGCGTGTGGAGCGGCCATGCCACCGTTATTTCTGTATCGCTGTATTGCTGGCCAAGATGGTGTGGTGTGGAGCGGCTTGCCCATCGACGTCGCATGCGCATCGCACGGCAGAGAAGGAGGAACTGCCCAGGTCCGCTCGAGGGTCCGGGTTTCAGGTCCGGGTCGCGAGTTCTCGAACTCGAATTCGAACTCGAACCTTCGCTGGTGTGGGTGCGCTCTCTCTCAGGTAGATGTCAATGTAGTGGTGAGAGGTTACATTGGTATTAGTGCGATCTTCGAATTTTCGCAGTTCGAAATTGATTTCGAATTCGGCTCAAAACCGGACTTGGCTTCGACGCTCGGTCTTGGACCCATAACTGGTTTGCTCTGGGCCGCAGTTTACCTGCCTGCTGTTCGGGCATCTCTGGATCAGTGAGTGTGTGTGAGCGCGCTGCTGGGTCCAAAGGCGACTCCAATTTCCCCGGCATAACCACTGCATTCGGTTAGGCGGTTGCCCGAATCGCTTTTTGGGAGTTAATATTCTATTAGGAGCTCATTTGCCTGATTGCCAGCCAGGATGTGTAATGGCTTTTTTGCGCAATTGAATCCGGCACTGGGAACCGGGCAATTCGAGTTTGTTTTCCACTTCTAATTATCGATGGCCCTTGCCATGATTTATGTGCCTTGATGGACGGATCGATGGCTGGATCGATGGTAGATCGATTGATGGATTGTGTGAACCCTCGGAGACCAAGCACTTGTCCGCGCTGTCTTCATTATTAGCTCGAGTGGATTTCTGACATCTTGCTTTGTTTCCAACAAACTCTCAACCGGTCTCAATTTGCTTTCCGTAATTAATGATTTATCTCAGTTTTTTTGAAGTGTTGTCTTAATTCCAGCGAAGTGATTATTGATAGTTTCTCCATGGCACTCACTCGATCCGAGAGTGTGAGATGTCTCAAGTGACTTGGCATCCATCTCGGATTGGCCCTAGGCAGCTGGCTGGCTCGATCGCCGAATGTTGCACTTTCCTTGTTTACAGATGGCGGAGGTTACTGCCGGATTCAATTTCAGACATTTACATCATTCTTTTTGGCCACTTGCTACGGATCGTTTGAGTATTATTTTCTTACTTTGAAGACCTTGTTGATGGTCAAAGTAACCCGTGTTAATTAATTCAAACGTTTTTTAATAAAATCGCTTGATTGCCTTCTCTTTGGTAGCTTAATCATCTTCTTATGTACATATTTTAGCTTGGATGGTTTTATTTTCTAATATTGAAGGTTTTCTAACTTAAATTATTTTAGTAATTATATGTAAAAGTGCAAGCTAACTTGCTCTTCTGAAAAACTTTTGAGAAATCAAACATTTTTGTCGGGTACAAACATAAATTTATTGATACAAAATCCAATTAAAATAATAATGCAATTTCGTTATGTTGAAGGTTGTTGATATAAATTTATAAAAATCAAATAAAAATGTATCTTTAAACTACAATATTTTCCTTATGGGCTTATACTACGTAACATTATTAATCAATTTGTTAAAACAATTTATAAATTGAGTCTTATTCGTGTACAAAAACTTAAACTTAATAAATCAGTAGATTAATTTTGTGAACAAATTGCCTGATAATCTTTCAAAAATATTACAAAATGCTTGCTTTATTTCGCCAAACTTATATCTTTATCCCAACAGTATGGATAATTTAGTCGAAATTACAAAACAGTCCCTCGAAAATATCTCTGCAATAAGCCATTCAACTCATTATCACACCCCATCGAATATGAGACTCACAGCATAGGTATGTACACCATTCTGGCTATATATCTGAACGATCTGGGCACTAGGTTGGATTCATAATGAAAATTCTATTTGAGGCCAAGTAGGAACCATTTTAATTAACTTCAGCAGACCGAAAACCAAATAGGAACTCAAACTTGGCAGAAAATGTTGTGGGAATATGGAGAGAGGGAGATGCGTCCTCGCGATGTCGCTGGTTCGGCCGTGGAAAAGGAATTTTCACATTCGCATCCGTGAGTCCAAATTGGCAGCTGCTCAAATCTGGGGCTATTTATGTCAACTAGGGATGTGCCTCGTGATTGCGGCAAACACCTCGGCCTGGATGTTGACATCTACAGCAGCAGAAAACCCAATATTCTGAATCCGAATTACTCATGTGATTCTGTGACACAAACGTGACTGACCACATTCACTGCATTTCGCGCTTACAAATGGCCAGCGATTATGGCAACAATGAGTATTCAATTTGTTCGAGCTCCTGACTGGCCCAGAGATCGGCTTGAGCCGCGTTGAGGCCAGTTTATGCGGGTGGAGCAGCTGCTGATCGTGGTCTTTGGGTCCGGGGGTCTCAGGTGTCTGGCTTGGCCATTGGCCATTGGTCAGGGCTTTGTTAATGCCACTTGATTAATCGCTTATTATGATGTCAGATTAATAAGATCGTTTTCAAAAATGGTCCGTGTTCGAGGCCTGCGAAAAAAGCGAATGTTTAGTCAATGATTCCACGTGAAATTGTTATGTCAATGCAGTGCTCACCCTCTGACGTAATCAGTGGCCTCAGAAAGTCTCTTTGCGAAAGGGGAAGAACCTGAAAGTAAGTTAAGAAGATTAACTGAATGCTTAAATGAATATCTGAAGGAAAACTTACCTTGTTAGGTAGTAACTTGAGACATAGATGGCCCACTGCAAAGATCGCCCATCCCAGGAAAAACACTCGAAATTAAATTTTTAAATACTATATTTTTATTATAAATATTACAAATAAAAACAAAATCTCATTTGTAATTTAATTATAATTTTCTTTATGCTTTTCGCTTTGCCTGGCAGCCCCTCCACTGCCTCTCCTTCGTCTGTTTACACTAAAGTTTAAATTTTATTTACAACAAATTGTTTAGCTTCCACATTTCGTTTCGATTTCGCACAAATGTTTTTTCGAGTGTATTTAATGTTTTGTTTTGTTTTTCTCTCAAATATATATATATATACTTTTATCAACGCTTTCGAATTTTGTTTCTTGTGAATTTCTACATTCTATGTTTATGTTTTTTCCAATTTTCTTTTTGTTTTATAATTTTCCGAATCGAAACTTAAATAGTTAGTTTCTTACAGAATGAGGCCGAAAGTTACGTATCTGGATTGAGTTGAATTCCGCTCTCAAGGTTGTTTTAGCCAATTCTTGGTTAGGTTTTTCGTTTTCGATTTCTCTTGACTATTTTCTTCTATTGCAAATCACAAATCCTTTCACCTGGGATGGGGGAACGGGGAGGTTGGGTAGGGTTGGGTAGGGAATTTACAAACGAAACGCTCTATAAAGTTACATGCTTTATATTGGGCTGGTTTAATTATATATATCTACATATAAACATATGATGCCTTATAGTTCTGCTTCCCTCTCGTCCTGCTCTAGCTTTCTCCTTCGTTCCTTTGACTTTGGTATATGGATTTCCACGGACGGCGTGGAAATTGAGTTTGAGTTACGTACATACATTTATATAGTTAGTGTTAGGCGAATATTCATATAGAAATCGTTCGGTTCTGCGCTCAAAGGGGATTCCCCTCGCAGCATCCTCGTCTAATAATGCATTTCAATTTACTACTTTACAGGGTTTTATTCGATTTTCGATTCATTACTTTCTATACATATCTTTGTGTTGCTCTTTTAACAATTTAAACTCTCGCTCCTCACCTGCCAATTCATGTTTCGGTATACTTTATATCCTTTTCGACCTAACTTTACTTTTGCAAGAACCAAAAATTGCACAAGAAATTAAAAATAAAAGAAATAGTGGTTAACCCAAGTTGGTTGACCTTCTCTTAAGAGTTTTATAAAGTTTAATTTGCCGTCGAGTTTTACATCAATCCTCTGCGATTCCTTTCCGTTTATATTTAAGCTTCTGCCAGTTAATAGTTTTGTTTTCGTTTTTATTGTATGTTTACTTTAAGCAACGTTATTCCGTGGTTTTGGTATCTCTTTGTCTAAACTTGCGACACTCTCTTAGCAGCAAGGTTCTCTATTATCATTCGTGTTCAGTGTTATCTGGTATTTATGGTTTCTCGAACCAACATGCAATGGATTTTGACGCCACTTGGTGTTTTTTTTTTGGATTTTTATTTTATAGTTTTGCGCTAGGATTGCTACAAACATTGATTTAGTTTAGGTTTAGGGTTTAGGGGTATGCTGGGGTGTATATATAAGTTAATCGTACAGTACTTATGACGCGTAGAACTAATGTTATCGTGTATATAGTATATATGCTTCATATATATTTACTTTATATATACGCCTTGCCTTTAGCTTTACTTGGTATCATGTATAGTTAACCATATATTATGTATATATATGCGTTATAGTTAAATATAGCTTATTTAGATCTGAGGTCACATGAGTTGGTTTTGTTTGAGTTTTACGCTTTACTTGTATCTTTACCATTATCTTTATCGTATCTTTACCTTTATCTTTATCTTTATCTTTATCTTTATCTTTATCTTTACCGTACGTTTATCTTAGTTCGCCTTCTCCGCCGGCCTTTCGTGTACAATTAAATAATAAGTAGAAAATAATAACAATTAACTAAGTTGCAGGCAGAGTTCTCAGCTCCGCTCTTTGTTTAGTTTAGTTTAGTTTGAGTTTACTTTAGTCCACGCGAAGTTCAACGGATTGGATAGGTAATAGATTGGATAGTCCTCTGGGATCGAAGTAAATTCTTTGCGCTCTCCTCCGAACTAACGTAAATTGTATTTAGATAGAAATTTCATTTAACTGCTGCTGCTCCTGATCGGGCTGCTGATCCGGCACCTGATCTACTGCGGACTGTTGGGTGGCGTGATCTCGTCGCCCTCGCCTCCGGATCCCGGCTCGCCCTTCGTCTTGTTCTCCTTCTTCCACTTCATGCGGCGGTTCTGGAACCATATCTTTATCTGGCGCTCCGTGAGGCACAGGGCGTGGGCGATCTCGATCCTCCGCCGGCGGGTCAAGTAGCGATTGAAGTGGAACTCCTTCTCCAGCTCCAGGGTCTGGTACCGGGTGTACGTCTGCCTTCCGCGTTTGCGTTCTGTTGGGCCCAAAGAAAAGTACAAATTTTCACAATTAAAATCAATGCAACGCTTCACCTTCCACCAAATCAACAACAACAACAAGTTCTACTGTATCTACAGGTCCACTACAATGCATACAACAACAAGAGCTGGAATAAGAATATATATCTTGTATCTTTTTGTTCTTCTTCTCTCCACCCGGAGAATCCCGGATGAGGGATCGGGGATTGAGGAATTGAGGGAGTGGGGGAACTCAAAACCACATGAAGCAAGGCGCTGGGACTCTGAAACTGAGGCTGATTAAAAGACAACCTTACCGAATTCGGATATTTGTACTTGTCAAAAAAAGAGAAGAAACAGGGCCCACAACAGGTCTGTGACGAGGGGCGGCGGCCAAAGGGGTCTCTCCCTCCCTACTCGGTCGGCCATCCCGATAGGAACTCTGGGTTTAATTTTCAGGGTATACACTTTCTAAGGGGTCGAAAGACTTTGGGAGGGTCTTTAATGTAACGACTTTTGAAAGGATTTTAGAGGTGCATAAAATTACTCTTTCTAGTTTGGGTTCAAAGTCAAAGTAACAGTAGTGTGTATTTTAAGAGGACTTCTTAGGTTAAATCTTTTGAAACAACAAAATCTTTGTTTCCCTTTCGATCTTTGTACAGCATACAATTTTATAATATTTTAAATCTTTATAGTTTAGAAAAGGGTATCTAACTATCGACAATGTTCCTCATTTTTGTGTTCATTTGTGGATTAAACTCGGCGGAGATTTCATGGACATCAAGCGGCGAGCAGACAAGGTAACTAATTATGCCCCAATGCGGTCTGTCCGCTCTTCTGTCCGTCCGCTCGTCTGATTGTCCGTAAAGCGGAGAGGTATCATGCCCGTGATTCAGGCAAGTGCAGTTTCACCTTCGAGCCCCTCAGCCTATACGCCCCCCTTCGGTCGGTAGCTGGGCATAACTGTAAAATAATTCGGAATAATTACGAAGGCTGCCCCCGCCCCAGCCACCTCCACCGCCAAGCCACTCCATTTCGAAAGCAACCAACCAAATGAGTTCGGCGCCTAATGACACTTACTATAATTATAATTTCGGTAATGACAGCAGCAGAAAAAGAGCGGAGTGAAAATGCCGGGAAAAATATGTCAAATATAATACGCAGCAGCAAATATTGTAATTGTCGATGGCGAAGGTGGGCAATGGGTAATTGAAATGGGTTGGTAGCGTGAGAAGCCATTTTCGGGTGGAGTTTTCCCGGCCACGTCTTGAGTGCTTTTCTCTGTTGCCTATGTTTTATTTTAGGGTTTGGAAAATGTCCGGCCGGAAATTGGAAGGCGGCCACAGCAGCATTGGCATTGCGGTGGCTTTTGACCAACCACGCCAAGCGGCAATCAGTGGAAGTTCCCTCATACCTCGTTCCTCGCCTCAAAACCCCCCTCCCCCTTGAGGTGGGCAGTCTTAACTATTTTTTAATAACATCTTCAGCATTTGTCTTGCTCAACTCGCTCGTCCGATTTTTTCATTTTTAATATTTTATGTATTTTTTGTGTCTGCCATCTTTTGGCTCGAGGTCATTACATCATAAGCTCTTTTATGTATTTTTCCTCTTCGTTTTTTGTACTTTTTTTTGTATTTTGTGCGGCATCCATTAAGGCGCGCGAATCCAAATCGTATAGAACCGGAGGAGGGGGTGGTGGCTATGTGCTGGCTGTGAAGGGAAAGGGGAAGGGGAGGGAATGCCGCACAGCGGTGGTCAGAGCAGCTACCTTCTTTTAAATGACACGGCTGATGCCATGTCTATAACCCGAGGCGTTCGCATTTAATCATCATCAGTTAGACGAGTCGCTGTGCCGGCAAAAAATCTTGAAAGATTTGTGGCAAAAAGCGTGCGTGGTCATCCCCCTCTCTCTGGACCATCCTTCGCCAGTCTGCGAAGAATCCACGGGGGGAAGTCCAAAGAGTTGGGTATTAGGAGCGGATTAAGAGCGGAATAAATGGGCTGGACTTTCACCCGAGATGATGGATAACGAAGTGGGAGGGGAGTTCTATATCTTATTAATAACAGTTTGCAAGCTAAATGCAATCCATATAGAAGGGGTTTGAAGGGGTAAACAGTATTTCGCTTAATTAGCTTAATTAAATTCACATCGCACTAATTAAAAATCCTATATAAATAAAAGGCCAGTCATTATCACTCATTTCAAACAGACCAAAGGCCATTGTAATTCCAGTAGTTGCTCCCATTTGATTGCCATCTTGTTCCCTTTCTGGAACACTGTCCACACATTTCCATTTCCATTTGCATTTGCATTTACACTCCCCTTTGAAGTTTTGCTGATGATTAGCAGCACAAAGCTGTGTGTCTGCCCCTCATGCATTGCAAATAAATGATTATTTTAATTGATGAAAACACCTACAAGTAATGCATACGAGAGTGGGGTCTTTGGGGATGGGCAGGGGACGGGTTACGCTGAAAGAGGGGCGTGCATTGGCAATTTAAGAGCGGGCGCTCGCTGAAATTTGTTTTTAATGATGCCTTTGCACATTTCATGTTGCCATCACTCAGAAAACATAAAAAACCGGAGGCAAGAAGGAGAAGAAGTACTTGCTTGTCTTAGATACACTTTTTATGCGCGAGCGTTGATCAATTGGGGCGCCCTCTTCTGGACAGGAGCTTCGAATCGAGCGCTGGGAAATTATTATAAACGCATTAATGGCGCTCTGACGAGTAGAAGAGAGGGCGGGGCAGGGGGAAATGGGGCCCAAGGTATCAGCAACAGAAATATAATAAAGGTGAAACAATTAATATGAAAAAGAGTAGCGATACATGTGAAGTACCAAAGGCAAGACCTTTTCAGGTTCTCTCTTCACCGCTCCCCTGCCACGCCCCCACCCTGCTGCCCCTCTACCGGCCATACATCTAAAGTGGCTGAGTGGTTGACTGACGAACCGAGTGGACCGGGGGCATTAATGCTTTTTGATATGAAAGCGTATTGTAATTAAATTGCGATTAGGCCACCATTTTAACCATTTTACTCGTTTATTACACTGCTCCGGCTCCATAATGGATTTTATTTCATTTTCTTCCCCTATCAGCCCCCTCTCTCCGCCCCACCCCTTGCGGCACACACAATTACATTAGTGCTATTGGCTGTCCGTGTGCGAGAGTGTGTTGGTTAACGTTTAAAGGAAATCATTAAAATAATTGCCAACAACATTTTATGGAATTCGTTGAAGCAGGAAAAAATTAAAAATAAAAAGCATTATTTAATAGCTCGAAAAAATTCTATTTTATAATGCCCATAATGAATTATTATATTGGCAGAGATTGCTTCTCCATCGCACACGAGTCCCGTCGAGCGGAACTAAAACAATGGCCAGCATCGTGAGGGAAAGTTCAGAAAGTGCGAAATGAATTTCTAGAGGGAAGGTGGGGAAAATAATGGGACTCTAGGCCTGATGGCAAGCCAGTTTTGCTGTAATCAAATGATTAATTCATCTTTAAAGGGTAGGAAAATCTGTTTCATTAGCCTGGCTAAGCTACTAACCTTGTTTGCAGCATCAATATCTTAAACTCTAATCCATTTCCAATCGAATTACCATAGACATAGCCCTTTTCTTAGCAGTATCAAACTGACATCACTGCTTATGACCTCCAAAATTAGAAGACTTGGCCCCGGGTTAAGGCCGCAGCCATTCCCAACTGCAGCTGGGTGGTCGCTGCAGCCGTCGCAGTCTTCTTGGCCGAAAAGCCGCTCGTCATGCAACAAATACAAAAATGCATTTAGCCACAAACAAAACGAAACGTAAACAAGTACAAGCCGGCGAGCGGGCGAGCGGGCAAAAAAAAGCTCACATCAAATGCGAGTAAATGTTTTTTTAATTGCGGAAATTACAGACAAACGCAGGCCGCCGCAACAAAAGCTGGAAAATGATTATTATTTATGATCGTAAGTTGATAAATTTTTCATCCAGCTGAAGAGTGTTCGTGTGTGGCATTTAGTGCTGGAAAAAAGGCGGACAAACACCGCTGGTTGATGTCACTTCATTCTCTGCTAGCTCTCCGCTGTTCTGCTGCGAATCTGCCAACTCATTCGATGACTTTGTGCTAAATAAGCAGTGGGCTAAGAGAGAGGAAGGGTGGGTGCCGAAAAGTTTTCCTCCCATTTGATTGTTTTGCATATTTGACGTATTTTTGCCGTCACCAACTTTCCACTTGCTGTTTTCACAACCTTCGGGGAGTTGGCCAGAAAATGGAACGTCAAAAAATGTAACGGCAGAAGGGAGCAGGAATAAATATAGCCCGAAATCCTTCTGAGGTTTGATGTCTTTGACTGCCCCGCCAGCAATTTCTCTTTTTCCTCCCTTTTTTTTAATTAAGTCCAAGAATTTTGGTTTTTATTTCCGGAGGTAAGAGCCACAATTAAATATTGCCATTGACCATTTGATCATTTGTTGGCCTTCTTTTTTATAATTTTCATCTGGCTGCCCTTTTCCATCTGGCTGTAATCTCAGGAGACTTCAGAGCGTTTTTAATTTGGGACTTGTTAAGCACTTAAGAGGGTTAAAAATCGACAAAAGTTGACAAAAAAAAATGGAGCCCAAAAATCGGAGTGGAAAGAAGAGCGGAAAGCATCGCCAAGGAGTTGACTAGGGGCTTAAAAATGCATTCATTTTATGGCACCGAAAGGGGGGGGGAGGAGGGGACTTTAAACTTTATTTAGTTATCGCTTAAACAAAAGCAGAACGCGAACCGGAGGGGAAAACGAGGGAAACTATGCGCGCCATCTGATTGTTGTTGCGGGCTCTTCTTTCTTTCGGTCGCTCCGCTTTCTTACCACCGTTTCGGTGCTCTGCACTGGGAAAAACCTGATTACATAATTGAAAATATCAAGTATTAAAAAATAATAATCGGTAGTTACTTTTTGAAATGACTTTAAGCTGATAGAAACTTAAAAGAAATACCATTTTTAAGTTATTATCTAATGCTGATCTACAAGAGATTTTAATATTTA